CATGAGAAAATTATAGATTCTGCCTATAAATGCAGTATCTCCAAAAGTGATCCCTGAAATCATGATGATGGCCGTTCTGCGTGTTCAAAGGTTACCAATATGATTCACAAAATTTATGCATGTTATGAATCTACCTGGAGAATTTACTGTTCTTGGTATTTGAATGTGAATCAATATCACCAAAGCACGATGCCTCTTAACTTTTTCCCTTGATAGCTATATTACATTCTGAAATTCAACGGATAAATACTCAATGATTAAGGTGGGGTAGAAAAGTTTCTCAAAAATTTTCTTTTGACTGTTTGACAACCTCTATTTATATTGAACTGTGGATATTTGTCTCATAATGGTTAGTTCACGGAAACTTTTTGCTATAGCCATTCTTCTTCTTAAATGCGTTTTTTTGTTTTTTAGCTATAAAAGTTAATGCACATCTCCAGACTCAGATTATTATGAAGCTCACAATTTTTTTTTTTTTTTTTAAATAAAAAATTCACCGAATTTTCTTAATGGATGAAAAGCAAAGAATACTTAGTTGTAGAGCAAGACTTGTGAAGAAGTGGAGCTTGCTAAAGTGATGGGGGCTATAAAAGCTATATCTCGGGTAGAAACAAGTTAAACCGAATACCTAAGTATTCTAGATCGGTTTTAGTTTAGTATTCCTGAGTCTAACTTTGTGCTAAAAAATATGTTGAAACACTCCATTCTACTCAGGGCTTGATTGAGTTTCCTCAAGCTTTAGCTTGATCTCACACCTTGATTTTTTTTGAAATACAAAGATTTGACGTCTTGATTTTGCATGCATAGGATAGAAATCAAGCTCGACCTGAAAATCAAACGTATAATTGCTTGGTAATTATGAAAAATCTGTATGTATAATTGTGCTGCATTATTAATGTCAATACATAAAACAATATATAGAACATCTAGTTAGGTTTTTATATTTAAAATTAACATGTTTATGAACTTTTGATCCGAGTATTTATGGCAGGAATAATCTTTGATCATAAATGACAATTAAGCTCAAGCTTAATTGAAATATTGTCAAACTGAGCTTGAGCCGAGTTTGATTGAACTATTAATTGAACTCAAGCATGGCTTGGTGCCAGTCCTACTCTATATATAAAGTATTTGCCTGAGGCATTGTGATATTAAGGGGAAATAGTTCTCTCCGCATTTGGTCATTAATGCATTTTCCTCGCATTACCTTAATCATAATATTAATTGTTCTTCCAGAGTATCGGGAGCCTGTGAAAATATAAATATTTTTTGTAGCTGTGGTGATTCAGAGTCTCAGTCATGCCTATACGAGGAATCTCTTCCTGGTAAGTCAATTAAACTGACATTCTGATTTAGTGCCATATATTAGCTAGTCTGATGTATATTAAACAAGTTGAATGTGCATCTGGTACTGTAATAATCGTGAGAGATTTTTGTTTAAGGCTTGAAAAGTGTCCCTGGTTTGAAAAGAAAGCTGCCAGCTCTTGAAGATGATGAGATGGAGTTTTCTGAAACCATTAATTCCCCACTGAATTCAAAAAGAAGTAGGGTGCTTATTCACAAAGCAGGTAACTGCGGAGAGAATCCACCTGATAACCTTGCTGAAGATTGCATGGAAATCGTTAAGAATGGTAGTCCCTTGTGCTCTTCCAAATCCCCATGTGCAGTTGAAGGCTG